TTATTTTTTGGAATAAGGCGGGGGGGGGGGGGGGGAAGACAGGCTTTAGTCTTATATTCTCATTCTAAAGAGACCCATGCGTTTGCCTAATTCTACACATGGCAAGTAGTCTTACTAACATGAATGGGATGACGCACAGAATGTAACATTAAGTATAGGCATAAGTCTTCGCAAGTTCTATTAGCTAATCTAAGATATTTACATAACTCCCATTGCCCTAGTACCTCACTTCTCCCCCTCCCCCCAAAATGTACTTATGTACTCCATATGCCTGTGAGATAGGGAAATATCTTCATTTTACACGGAAATATCTTCATTTTACAGATGAAAAAGTGACACAGAGAAAAAGAGAAAGCGAGAAAGTGACTTTGCTCCAGGTCACAACACAGGAAGCCTGAAGAGGAGACAAACTGAATGTGGGTCTCCTGAATGCTTTCGCCACCGCCACTCTTCTGTATAGTTATATCTAATACCTGTATGATTAATAATAGAAAATCTATTATATCTGATACAGCAATATTGAACATTATGTCAGTTGATCAGAAACTGGAATCTGCAGAGGGTACCGTATATTCCGGCATACAAGACGACTTTTGATGTTAAAAAACATCCCCCAAAAATCGGGGGTCGTCTTGTACGCCGGGCATACATCCCAGGCGTGCCTGGGATGCCCCCCCCGCCGGCTTCCCCCGAGGCTTTGAGGATCCTACTTCTACTTCGCGGATTTTCATCTATCGCGGTAGGGTTTGGAACCTATCTACCGCGATAAACGAGGGTTCACTGTATCTGTCCACTTGGTTTCATCACCCATTTAAAAAGAACTCACTCTCGTTACCCTACCTTCAGGAAGAGGCAGCCCCCGACAAACATGCTGACACTTGGTGGATGAGGTCAGACTTTGTGTGAGATACCCAAAGCACTTCACAACCCAGTCCAGTGTCCTCTTCGTGGGATCTGAGACAGGGTGTAGACCAGGGGAAATGGGGGGGAGGGAGGATCTTCCCTGTGGTTCTGTTTAAATGTAGAACCTGCCATTAAGTGCAATCAGAGCTATTTTAAAGGGAATATTTTTGTCTCCAGCAGGTCCAAATGAACCCAGCCAAATGAAGTCATTTCTGACTGGGCTAATTTAGCAGCGTCCATAGAGGAGGATGGGAACAACTCCTCCAGACTCAGGGAACACACTCCAACTTTCTGATCAGTTAGACTGCAGAATTTTAGGCTATGTCTACACTGGCATATGTGAAGTGCTGGTAGTTACAGCACTGCCCGTAGAGCGCTGCAGGGAAACTACTGTTGTGTGTCCACACTGTGCGTGTCCACATTAGCAACTCTTGCAATGTCACACAGAGTAGTGCATTGTGGGTGCTGTGGAGCAGTCAGCATCACATGATGCAAGTTTCCCAATCCCATTGCTCCATAGTCATCCTGCTACACTGACAGCTGCTTTTCAGCCGAAGTCATGGGAAGGTGGGAGAGGGAGAAGTGTGTTTTGGGGGATGTCAGCATGCTGTCTTGTAAGTTTAGACAGCCATAGGAAACAACCCCTCCTGAGATAGGGGGTGGGGAAAACCTTGACATCTCACACACACTACCACCCCCCTCACCTTCCTCTCCAGCTCTTTGCACAACCTCTCTTTCTCTTACACACACACACCTTCCTCTGTGTTCAACAGCTGAGCATTTCATGAAAGGTTTGCTTTGTGTCCAGGACCACAGAATCAGGCAGGCAGAAGAGTTCCACGAACAGCAGATGACTTGGGGGATTATGGGTCATTTCTGGAGGGCAAGCAGAGTAAAACAAGCAATTCAATTGTCCACACAGGCCCCCTAGTTCTGTATCCAGAACACAGTAAGCTCTACACTTCTCATGGGTGTGGTTTATCTAAAGTGCAGTAACTGTGGAGCCGGTGTGCACTACCAGCACATCTACACAGCAGGGCTAAAGCTGAAATAAGCTATGCAACTTCATCTACTTCAGGTGTGTAGCTTAAGTTGAAATAGCTTATTTCGGCTTTTGGCGCTGTCTACACAGCAGGAAGTCTGAGAAAGAGCACTCGTCCTCTGATTTCCCTTACTCCTTGTAAAATGTCTACACAGCTCCTTTTTGCGTAAAACCCCCTCTTGCGCAAGAGCCGTTCTGCCACTTCTTTTCAGGAAGAACGGCTCTTGTGCAAAAGCCTCATGTGCAAAAACAGCTGCTAATTAATTATGCAAATGAAGCATGGCAATATTCTACTCCACACTTCATTTGCATAAGCTTTTGCAGAAGAAGGCTGTAGTATAGATGGAGCCTCTCTTTCTCTCTCTCTCTCTCGTTTAAGTGGCACTAATGGGACTGTGACCTACACCCAGTAGGTGAATGAGTTATGTTACCCGGGTTCTTTCAACCAAAACCTTTCAGTAACTTTTACTCTCTGCGCGGTGGTGTCAGGAAATAATTCAGGGGAGGTATGGTCATCCGTCCAATAGATGGATGGTACAAACAGGACAACACAAGAATGCTTTCACTTAAAGCTAAACTTTACTTAGTCTCAAGCACTTACACACGTCCGCAACAGGTTAGGAAAACACCCCCACCCTCCAAAGTGGAGTGTGGCTCTCGAGTGACACCGAGCAGGCTTCCGATGGCCAGTCTTCCGTCTGCCAGTGGGGACGAAGATGTGTCCAGAAGTGAAGAGTCTTCTAGGAGTCCTAGAGGCGTCCCTCCAAGTGTTCCCAAAATTGTTCCCTCA